CAAAGGACTGTGACAAGGGTGTATATTCTTCCCTTATTTATTCAACCTATATGTTGAATATATATTAAGAGAAGCTGAATTGGAAGAAGATGAGCATGGTTTTAAAACTGGAGGAAGACGCAGCAATAACTTGCACTATGCTGATGACACTACCCTGATAGCAGAAAACGCGAAAGTTCTGCAAGCCTTAGTACTAAAGGTCAAAGAGCACAGTGAAAAAATGACACTAAAGTTTGATATAAAGAAGACCAAACTACTGTAATGACAACAGGCAGAGTAACCAGCCCCAGAACTGGCAATGAATATATTAAAGTGGTGGATAGCTTCTGCCTTTTAGGATCAACCATCCACAGTCAAGAAATAAGCAGTCAAGAAATATCCCTCAGAGAGCACTTGGTGAAACAGCAGTGAAGTCTTTGGAAAAGATATTCAAATGCCATGATATTTCTATATACGATGGCAATTCGGAAATAAACCTCAGTTTGGTTATCAATGACACACTCGCAGATACAGAACTTTTATTAAATACATTAGAAAATGACAACATTACAATACTTTTTGACATAATCACCATTCAAATTGAGGCATTGTCATAACACCTTACAAGGTTTGAAATTCCTTAGTAGTAGTCGCTCAGCGCCAAATCTGGGCTACGGGGTGTGTGTATGATCAAAAACATCCCAACAGAACTGCTTCAAAAGTTCTTGGGTGCATCTAGCAGTGTGCAGGCAAGCATTATCGTGAATCAACACCACACCGGAAGTCAGCATGCCCCGACACTTGTTATGGATGGCTCATTGAATTTTTGTAACGTTTCACAGTAGACTTCTGAATTGATGGTTGAATCACGCTCCATGAATTTCACTAGAAGTACTCCTTTGGCATATTCACATTTGGCGGGATTTTCTATGGAACCACTTCCGGTGTGGTGTTGGTTCATGATAATGCTCACCCGCACACTGCTAGATGCACCCAAGACCTTTTGAAGCAGTTCTGTTGGGATGTTTTTGATCACACCCTCCCCGTAGCCCAGACTTTGCGCTGAGCAAGTACTACTAAGGAATTTCAAACCTTGTAAGATGTTATGACAATGCCTCAATTTGAATGGTGATTATGTCAAAAAGTTGTCATTTTCTAATGTGTATATTACAAGTTCTGTATCTGCGAGTGTGTCATTGATAACCAAACGGAGGTTTATTTCCGAATTGTCCTTGTATTGCCCTAGGGATGTTTTTGATCACCCCCCATAGCACAGATTTGGTGCCTAGCCATCGCATTTCCTGTGACACTTTATGGAAGTGAAAGTTTGACATTTAAAGAAGCAAGGTAGGAAGAGTGTTGACATCTTTGAAGTTTGGTGTTGGAGAAGACTCCTGAGAACACCATGGACAGCCAAGAAAACAAACCAATAAAATCATCAAACAAATTAATTCAGAGTTTTCACCTGAGGTACTTATGACCAGGCTCAAATTACAGAACTTCAGACACAGTAAGCAAATATCTAGCTTTCTAGAAAAAGGCTCTAATGTTGGGAAAAGTGGAGTAAAAGAGAAGAAGGTAAGCAACAGCAAGGTGAAGGTAAGCAACAGCAAGTTGCAGTTACAATAAGTGCGCCATTGAAAGACTTGAAAGAACAGGTTAGGAACAGATCATCATGGAGAAAATATATCTATCTGGTCACTAAGAGTTGAAAATGACTCGATGGAACATAATCAATTAATCAAAAGGAGGTTATGGTAAATTACTTCCAAACCAATACAGTCAGGGTCACAATCACTAGGAATCAAGCCTGTCTTGAAACTTCATTTTTATGACCCCCTTGGAAACTATTTTATGAATGAGCAAGTGAGAATATCACAGGTTCTCAACATATTAAATATGTCCACAGTCTACAAATATTGGAAGCCTCTGCCCTAGGCCATTGTTTCTTTGATGCATTCACTGAGTAAGCTACAACTGGTTTGACACAGCATACCATAAACCATGCTAATATACTACTGTATATTATCTGAACAGTATCTGAACTCAGCCTGTTTATGTGTTCATAGGAGTCACTGGATGTGAATTTTATAAGAAAATGTTAGACTATCAGTTTTTATCCAGACACGGTAATTCAAAACTTGCTGGTTTATTATCAAATATTTGCTTTATAGTCAGCCATAATAGTTATAAAAGCCAACAATGATTCTCTTGAGAAATGCAGGCTGAAATATCAACTTTTAATAAACATAAACCAAAGTCTCAATGCATTAACCTCCCATTACATAGTAGGGGGGAAAAGAAACATGTCTCTGGAAATAAAGATATAATAGCCATCGATGAAGGCTGTAAACAAGAGGTACAATATGTTACACTTCCATTGGATTGTTGTTTAATTTTGCTTTTAAATGTATAAATACTCTCTCCTACATTCAATCATGCCTGATTCTCAGAGACTGCCTAGACAGGTTCCTGCAGTTTTCTTGGCAAGATTTTTTAGGACTGTTTTGCAATCTCTAGGGCCGAGAGGAAATGAATGGTCCAAGGGCACCCAGTCTAAGACAGTACTAGAGCTTACGGTCTCCTATTTCTAGCTGATGCCTTAATACCAGGTCTTCAAACTTGCCCCCTTTATGACTTGTGAACTTCAACTCCCAGAATTCCTCAGCCAGGCATTCTGGGAGTTGAAGTCCACAAGTCATAAAAGGGCCAAGTTTGGAAACCCCTGCTTAATACAATATACAGGCAGGAATTCCAATTTTGAAAAGTTAAAAAAAAAGCGCTCCAATTCTGACAATCATAATTGCACAGCTAAGATATGTGCTCTTATGTTTTAATTAAAAAAAATAGATGAAGAAAAGTTTTGACTCTTCATCTCTTCAGCAACCCAAGTCCAGAACAGACCACTGCAGTCTTATAATTTAAAAAAATTAAATCCAGAAATAGAAGACAGGGCCATGCATTTTGTACAGCATCTACAGTAGTTTGTCCCTGATTTGCAACAATATCTAAAACAGGGGCCTCCAACCTTGGCAACTTTAAGACTTGTGGACTTCAACATCCCAGAATTCTGCAGCCAGCAAAGAACAGTGTAAATCATGGGTGAAAGTAAATCAGGACTGGAATGAGAGTAGGATTTTAAATTATATGGGTCCTTATCCAATAAAGCAGGAATAGGCAGTCTACTTTTATTGAGATTAGATTCCCTCGGAGATTATCTATCAGGAGTTGCATACCAGTGAGGAGCTACCTGAAGGAAAAAATAAGTAATGGACTATCCTTTCTCTTTTTCTGTTTTTCTTTCATTCTACCCTACCAGGCTTCTGAGAAATAAGCTTCTGTTTGACTAGATGGCTTTCAGGGAGCTCAAAAATTAAAAACTGCAGGTTGTATTTCTGCAGATATCTTCATATAACACGACAAAATAAGAGTGCTAGTTTTTCCTTAGAGAACTCACTGATTTCTCAGTTTATTGATCAATATGTAAACCATTGTCTATGGTGAAAAGTTTTAGCCTGGGCATTTACAGTATATATTACTGCTAAACCAAGATTTGAGATTACTTTTAATGGAAGGAAGGCTGAAATTAATATAAATTTTAAAAACAAAAGTAAACATTCAGATAGATTTTTAGCACATCATTTTAGCACATCATTTTAAACCGTTATTACCTCATACCATTTACCTCATACCATTTAAGATGGTAATCATATTAAATAATAAAAAAAGAATTTATAACATTCCTATTCCCTGTAATATCAAAACAAATTAAGGTGTGTGTGTGTCCATTTGTTATACAAGAAAAGTTATTTTACCTTCATTATTTATTATTTTGCCTGATTAATGTTACCTAAATAACATTTAATTATAACACTGGTAAGATCCAGTTTGGTGTCGTTGTTAAGACGTTAAGCTAGAAACCAGGAGTCTCTGAGTTCCAGTCCTGAGTTAAGCACAACTGAAATGATCAAAGGCTTGGAGACTAAAACATATGAAGAATGGCTTCAGGACGTGGGTCTGGCTAGTCTAAAGAAAAGAAAAAACAGGGCAGTATTCCAGTATTTGAGGGGCTGCCACAAAAAAGAGGGCATCAAACTATTCTCCAAAGCACCAGAGGGCAGGACAAGAAACAATGGTTGGAAGCTGATCAAAGAGAGAAGCCACCTGGAATTAAGGAGAAACTTCCTAACAGTGAGGACAATTAACCAGTGGAACAGCTTGCCTTCAGAAATCATGGAAGCTCCATCACTGGAGGTTTTTAAGAAGAGACTAGATAGTCACTTGTCTGAAATGGTATAGGTTCTCCTGCTTGAGCAGGGGACAGGACTAGAAGACCTCCAGCTTCTATTCTATTCTATTCTATTCTATTCTATTCTATTCTATTCTATTCTATTCTATTCTATTCTATTCTATTCTATTCTATTCACCTCAGACCAAACACTCTCTCAGCCCTAGGAAGAAGGTAATAGAAAACCACTTTTCAAACTCTTGGCAAGAAAACTGTAGAAACCAGTCCAGGTAGGAATCAAAACAGACTTAAAGTAGCAATGATAATACAAATGTTTACTTTACTACACAACACTGTCTTACAATTTACTCCACTTAGTATTTTTTTTTACATTTTAGTATTTTAATTAATTTAGTAAACTATTCCAGTGTTGCACAACTAAAAGAAATTAGTACAAAATTCTATGTTATCTTTGTTGAATTTTGATAACTTTTAAACATGAAAATGTATATTTTCCTTCAAAGACCTTCCAAACTGGAAAGGTTGCAATGGCATAACTTTTTCCAATAAGTATGTTGTAAGATAGAAGAATTCAGAAAAGAGGACAAAGAATGACCTCCCATAAACTCACTATACTGTACTTATAATTTTTGGTCATGTATATTGTCTATTCAGTTGTCACACAAACCTAAGCAAATATCTATACTTCAGGTCAAGGAAACTAACATATGCTGTAAAGTTTAATCTCACACTTCCAGCCATGAATTTGTTAACTATACATAGTATCACTTACCTTGAATTTGAATTCTTTGTCTCGAAAAATATTTCTAACTGCTGGGTAGAAGACTTTCCTTTAGGATGCAAAACAGAAGACAACAAAAATGGTTCAAAAGAGAAGTAAAGCTATGGCCCTTAAATTACAAATTAAATGGACTTCTTTCTGTTCTGTCCTGAGAGGCTTTAATCTGGTGACTTCAAAGGAAGGATTATGTAAGAAGATAAAAACTTGATTAACGCTCATGTTTGAAGTCACTAAAGCGTCTCCTTTCCAAGCAAAAATAGCTCTCCTTAAAGTATAAAAAAAAACAAGTTCCAAGTGCAAGCAGGAAGCTGTAACTATGCGCTGGAGATTATAGGAAGAAAAAATTAGCTTTTCCTTAATATACTCAATGGTTGGCTTTTGTACTGCAAGTTAATGTTAAGGTGTCTCTGTACATATGGAATATAATTGACGGGATGGGTTTAAAACAATAATTAGGTAGTGGCTTGTTTGGTAATTATTAATTTCTCTATCATATTGGAAAGAAGGAAATTCACATACTTCCTTTAAATTTTAAAAAAGCCATGTGCTGTGCAAAGCTTTTGTAGCTGCTTCAAATGTCACTTTTACTTGTATATGTGTATATGCCAACTCTGCTGGGTTCCTGTGAAAGTACAATCTTGCACAAATATGAACAAGCAGATAGATTTGCAGCATCTCTGTGTCAAGCGTTTGGATGATAAGATTCCTTTAAAGCTGCATTAGAAAGAGTGTTTTGCTTATATGAAGCAGCCTGTGAGACACCACCTAATACTTTACATAGCCCCAATAACAAAAAAACTTGTTGATAATGAACTTTTCAGATTTTACAGATCTCCAATGCTTTGTTTCCAACAGGAGATTCATAGGCAAATAGCTTAACATCTGGCAGCTCCAGTTTAAGAGTTTCACATAATTGGTAATATACTCTTTATAGCTATTAAATTTAAAACTATATATAAAATACACTTCAGAAAAGTTTATGATTAAACATTAATAATGTATCACCAAAACCCAAATGTTGATGAGTGGACACAGATAGTATTTTACAAGATATATTCTTCCATTGGGACAAATTATACATGGAATTTGACTACTGTATCTGTAGAGTGCCACAGGCAGTCTGCAACTCTGACTTAATAATCAATATATTGATGCATGGATAAATGTTGCCTTAATGTATGTATTTTTATTTTTGGAAAACATCTTAGTAAGAAATTCACATTATTACTTCAATGAACGTTCCATAAAATCCATTCACACGCTTACTGAAGGAAAAGGTAAATTTTAGAAAAAGGAAATGTTACAACATTATTGCTAGGAAGGTTAGCATACAAATATGTGCTAATTAACCCTTGCTTCACTTTGCAAAGCATAAGATGTATGCTATTTACTGAAATACTTTACATAGCTATTTGGGCTGATCTTATAGAAAGTTTACTCTTATAATTAGTTGAACGTATAGACAGTATGTGTGTCTGTGTGTGCATGCCAAAAGTCATTGTCATAAATTCTGATAATAAATCTTGTGTCTCTTGTGTCTGGTGAAAGAAAAGAATTTTATTTCTTTTATTTTCAGGAATTATTAAATATGCATTTAAAAAGGGACGCATTAATTTTGTTTTGAAGCATTAACACAGGCAAACTTTCTCTCTATTCTGTTTAAAATACAGCATGGGAGAGTTTCAGTTCAGGGCAAATTGTATCAAAGTACTTTGGAAGACTAGAGCAAAAGATCTTTGTTACTTGATGTTTAATAAGCACTCATTGAGGGCTTTCTGAAAAAGTTTAAAGAGGACCAAATTTAATTTAACAAACAGTCCTTGACAGTCTTTATAGTATTCACAGATCTGGGTGGTCCCATCAGATTCTTTATTTCTATAGTCTTTAACATTTTGCAGATAACATTGTTAGAAGATGCTTCAAACTCTTCAAGGGGAACTGCAATCACATTTTTCAGGGGTTGCTTATGCTGCTTTTATATTTACAAATTTCGGATCTCAAAAGCATAAAACATTTTATACCTAATGCTAGAGCAAAGGCAAATGATGTAGTGGTGACCAGTATAATGAATCACTGTTTTCTGTGATATTCTTTAGAACTGATAGAATTTCTTTTTCATTTCTTAGCCGGAGAGATCATAAAGTTTTTAATGAACCAAAAGAGGAAAATGGTCATTTCTTGATTTGTGCTCTAAATAAAGAAATTTAGGACAAATATAACACAGTTTCAGGATCAGGTGGTAACTGAAAACTGATGAAATATTAATATAAGTAGAAAATAATAATTTAATAATTTGAATCAAGCAAAATGATATTGGGATGACTGCAATAATTTCATATGTTTTCCATATCACTATAATTGAATGTTTGTAATTTCATTTTATCTGAAATTAAAGAAAGTTTAAACAAGGCCTTTGGCAGTTAAATTTAAAATTAGCAAATATACAAAGCAATACATTATTAGTTCCAATTTTCACAAGGACAGTAACATGTTTGCACTTTTCAAAATGTAACATATATTTTATATCAAAAAGTATATTTTTCCAAATAAATAATTGCAAAATCTTATTTAAAAACAAAAATAATTATAGTGAAGATTCGTAGGTAGCTAGATTGATGTGTGAAAATTATTTAAAATGCTCATCAGGAAATTGTACTTATATTAAGTCCAATTATTCATAAGATATAAAAATAATATGAAGCCTAATTATTATATTCAGCTAGGTTAGGGTACATACCTGAGCTTTGCAAATCATGTGATGCTTTTCTATCTGTGGCTGATGTGCAAATTATTTTATAAATATTGCAAACTTTTAGAACAACACAGCAGTCAAATCTGTCAGTAGCTGGTATGGAGTTTATCAGCTGGAAAGGGAAGATTGTGGATGCAAACTGGAATTGCTGTGACTGTAGCGATAACATCACCTTGACATTCAACCATACTTTTTCAAGTGGTCTACCACCCATCTGAACCAGATTTTAAACCTCTATTCAGAGTAGTGGATTTCTCACTAATCAACTCTTCATAGGTTGGATTACGTTTCATCCTAATCATGCCAAAAGTGCTCTGAATGTGTTCAGAGTTTTCACATCTGAAATTAGTTAATCGAAACAAAGGCTACATTCAGGCATTGTGCTATGTGATAGCTATATTTACTCAGAACAATAAATCGAAATTAAACAAACTATACTGTGACTTAGTGCAGAGCATAAATTCAGCCAAAAAGCACAACTCGGTAAGTCCAGCATTTGATGCTTTAACTAAAACCTTTGGATAACCTCTTCCACAGATTTAATGTGTATGTTCAAAACCTGGGGATGAAAAATTATTCAAAGGTCAAGGGTGGACAAAGTTTTGGTTTCTGAAAGTAAAAGCAATGAGTTGTGGTTTCAATATTGCACATTTATTCACATTTAGAGGAACACTGCATGTTTATGTACCCCTTCATCTCCTCCCGCCCTCCATTATGAATACCTTAAACATATAGAGTTGGGGTGTTTGGGGTCTTCAAGTCAGTTTGACACCTGACAAGTTCCTGCAGATCTTTTTGGCAACATTTTTGGAAGTGGTTTGCCATGGCCTTCTTCCTAGGGCTGAAAGAGTAGGACTGGCCCAGAGACATCCAGTTGATTTAATGCCTAAGGCAGGACTAGAAAATGCACTCTCCCAGTATAATGAACTGGTGCTTCATACATTTATTTATTCATCATATTTATAAATTACAGAACCTTAAGGACTCAGCAGTTTAAAAGGTAAAATGCACAACACATAACATACAATAAATGCTAAGTATAAAATAAAGATTTGCAAACTAATGAAAGCAAATAAAATAAAACTAACCAAATAAAACAAAACAAATCAAGATGGAATTAAGATCCGGATTCCCTCCTGAAGAGCTCTCTTTTCAGAAACTGCCTGGCTGGAAGCCAGCTGAATATCCATTGGGAGAGCATTCCAAAGTGCTGCCACAGAAAAACAGACCACTGAACGTCAGCTTAAATTTTCTCCCTAAAGTGGTATAGTGCTAGTTGTTTCTCCTTGATAGATTGAACTCACCAGGGAATTTCAACAGGAAAATGCGGTTTTTCAGATAACTAAATACCAAGCCACATAGGGCTTTATGATTTAACAGAAGCATTTTGAACTCCACCCCAAAGCCTGTGGACAATCAGTGCAAGGCCTGATTGTGTGTGGGTCACCACGCACTGAGCCAATTGCAGCTTCTGAGTGATCTTCAAAGGCAGCCCAATGCAGGATGTGATATAGTAATCTAAGTGGGTGGTGACAAGAGTATAAGTAGGGCACAACTGGCACAGCAGCAAATCTAAGGAAAGCGCCCCATCCTAGGCACAATGTCTACCTGCTGTCTCATAGGACTATGAGTCCAGAAGAATTCACAAGTTGCAGACCTGCTACTCAGGGTTTGTGTCATTCCATCAGGATATAACTCCAATGAATAAACAACAACTCCCTCTATTCACCTCTAAGTTCTGGAGAGCTTTTTTGGACCTTTGGGGTTATCATTCAGTCAACATTCTCAAAAAATGGGGGGACAGAGAGACTGAACTCAGTTCTAGAACAGTACCTTAGATGCTTTATCAACTATCAACAAGATAATTGGACTGATCTGTTGCCATTTGCTGAAGTCACATATAATAATATTGTGTACTCGAGTCCTGGTTATACCCCATTCCAGGTTGCCAATGGCCAAACATTTGTCCCCATTCTGGAACTGCTAAAGAACCTGATAATCCCTCTTTGCAAGAATGGATCAAACAGTTGCAAAATACCTGGCCAATAGTACAGAAAGCACTAGATGAAGCCAGAGAAGCCTATAAGGCCCAGGTTAATAAAAAGAGGGTGGAGCAGAAACCTTTTAAGATTGGAGACAGAGTTTATCTCTCTACGAAATATTTGCAATCTTTGCAGCCTTCCAAGAAATGTGGTCCTAAATTTGTTGGACCTTTCCCCATTAAACACATTATCAATCCAGTAACTGAGGAATTAGAGCTCCCTAAGATCCTAAGACAGATCCATCCTGTCTTTCAT